CATGTATGTGTCTGTGAGACAGGGGGAGGGAGGAAAGGAGGAAGAGAGAGGGGAGGGAGGGAGAAAAAGAGAAATTTTCGGGGCAATTTACAAGCAAAGTAAATAAAGCAGGATGAGTAGGCTGGAGATGAGGCTGCGCTGCTGCGGTGCTTGTCCCGAGTTCACACTGCACGGGTTCTCCTCCCAGAGCCTCGGTGTGATGCCACACACCTGTAACCACAACATTCGGAAACAGAGGTGCGAGGGTCAGAAGTTCACGGTCCTTCTCAGCTACACAGAGAAATCCAGCAGCCAGCCTGAGCTACATGAAACCTTCTCAAATAAAAACAAAACCGTATCTCCAAACAAGGAAATCAAGTGACTTTCCTAATTAAATCTTAAAATTCACCCTGAAGTCTTCTTTACCACTACCCCTTTTCATGGAAAGGGCTTTGCAACATTTCTAGAATATTGCTACATGTTAAATATATTCATCCTTAGAGGAGAAGCTTACCTCAGGAAAAAAATGTTTGCCTCAGGGGAAAAATATTTTCTATGTCCTAATAAGAATATTATTTTTTTTAAGCCATTATCTTGCAGCTGAGGCCTAATGGATCCAGATGGTCACCGCTATGAAGAATACCCTGTATTCCTTTATTGGGACCCTGAGGTCACGAATTATCTCTGAGATGGAGGGTTATTCATGCTTCTCAACAGTTAGGTTTTGTTCGCCCTGATCCAGCCTGTTCGTCTCAGGCTAGCTGCAGCAGCAGTGGTGGTAACTGGGCCTTCCAATGCAGCACGGCAAGCAAGCCTCCCTCTCCTCTTGCTTCAAGCCTCTCTTGCTTCGTGCGTCTCTGCTCTCCCTGATCAAGCTTTAGGTAAACACAGGCAGCTAATCAGCTGACACCCTCAAAAACACCCCACACTGCTCCCTGTCACTCAAGGGCGAGGATTTCAGATTTTTCTGAATGAATGAGAGAGAGAGAGAGAGAGAGAGAGAGAGAGAGAGAGAGAGAAAGGAAGGAAGGAAGGAAGGAAGGAAGGAAGGAAGGAAGGAAGGAAGGAAGGAAGGAAGGA